AGTGATTTCAATTAATTTGCTATCAAATAAATAAGCATTTATTCTTTATTTCTAAAAAAAAAAAAAAATCAAAATAAATGACAGTTGCGATTTTTAATTATCCATTTGATTTAGAAATATAATCTTGAAATGGGAGAAAGATATTAAACATTTAGAAGCCAATCAACAGTTATGAACCAAATAATTGCATATATTTTTTTTAAAACTTACCTTTTACCAGGCTGTTTGCATACGATTACGAGTTAGGTTATAGGCATATTGAAAAGTTTTTACAGTACATGTATCTGCGCGCTACCAATTTTAAAACATGCATTGAAAAATAAAACTCTGAAATTAAAAAAAAACAAAAAAATTTTCCTCTTCATAAATCTCAATAAATTGCTGAAAACATTTTACTTAGTCGTGCATTATAAGTCTTTAGAGATTAAAAGTCCAAGTATTGTTCATGATAGAAAAAGCATACTGTTAATTATTATATTTTTCTTAATTACAATATACAGTATTGGTTTGATGGAACTTTCTCTAATTTCTTTTCTGTAAAAATTTGAAAACAGAAAAACAACAAACTTACAATCGAATCTCATAGATTGTTACTATTCTCTCTCTCTCACATATCTAGTTTTTTTTTATTATTTTATCAATGTACAAGAAGGCCATGTGATTTGCGATAATATGTCACAGAAATTATCACATGATCCGTGATTTTTTTTTTTTTTTTTTTTTAGAAATTTGTTCTTTACGTACAATGAATAACAAAGTAAGTAAGTAAGTAAGTAAATGGTTTATTATAGTGACATGTGTTATATACAATTACAACAGTTGTCAACAAATATACATATATTAAGAATTGAAACACCCGGCCCATCGGGCCTATATGTCACTTTAGCAATATAACATTCAATAATACAGAGATATTACGCATTGCGTTTACTATAAATAATAGATTGTCTGTAAGTATATGCTGAATATATGAATTTTCCGATCTGCCTTGGGAAATTTAATAAAAGAAATCTTGTTTTGTCTAAATCTGACATATTATTATCAAATAAAGTTGGGTTAAATTCAATACTGGTAAAAAAGATTGCTCTTAGATTTGAATATGATGTACAATGAAGCAAAAAGTGACATTCATCTTCTACACTATTTGATAAACATAGAGTACAGAGTCTGTCTGATAAAGCCTCCCCCTTATACCGTCCTGTTTCTATCCTTATAGGTAAGACACCACATCTAAATTGAGCAAGTATAGAACGATGGCATTTTGGGATATCCATTATTACATATTTCTCGGTTTGAAAATCAGATTTTACGGCTCGGTAGGTTCTGAGTTTTGGGACGTTTTGGAGATCTTCATTCCATGCGTTTAGAAATTTTTGACGAAGTTTTTCTTCTACTATAGTTAAGTTGCAGGCAATTTGATTTTGGAAATAGGTAGACATATCAAGAGATTCAAATAGGAGTTTAGCTGTATGCGACCAGTTTCTGTTGTTTGGTAAAGACTGTTCCAAGTCCCACAAGAATATTTTTTTCGTAAGTCTGTCGTCCGGCATTGTAACGAGTCGATTCCAAAGACGTATAATATTCACCTGGTGACGATAAAATGAAGGAAGCCAACCAACTTCTCCTTGAATTGCTAGTATTGGCGTAAATCTATGCACACCCAGGAAGTATCGCATCGCACGATGCTGTACAGATTCAATATTATGATGTTTGACGTAACCCCATACTCCACTGCAGTAATCCAAAATAGGTGCCACTCCGCTCATATACATTTTTTCGTATGTTTTGAATCCTATTGATTTATTCGAATGTATTTTGTATGTAATAGCTCCTAGTGCGCGCCCACCCGATTTTGCAAGATTTTCTGCGTTGTCCTTAAATGTGGTAAATTCGTCAAACAAAACGCCAAGATACTTATAGGATGATGAGTACTCAATACGATCTTCTCCTAAGGTAAATAAATGGTCACTTCTTTTCTGCTGTTTTTTACGAAAGTGTACTACTTTAGATTTTGTCGGGTTTATACACAATCTCCATTTCTTGCACCAGTTGGAGACAACATCAAGAAGTGCGTCCATGTCAGTACTGATAAGAGTATACATTGTATTATGTAACATGTCTGCATAAAAAATCTTTTACAAGATCGAGGCGCATTCTTTTTTGCATTCCCAAATTATGACGTAATTTTCGATATACATTGCGTAAATTCTTCTATGACGTCATATGACTGCGGGAAAAAAGATAGGCCTTTACAGTGTGCGATATTTTTATTTAATTAAATGCCTTTGTTAAGAAACTCTGTCATTTTTACGTGACAAATAAAATTTTGCAATGTATTTTTTAAAGTTTTCTTCCGCGTGCAGGCTTCATATTTATAGGTGTAACATGATAGTATAATAAATTGCAAGTCCTCAAATTTTATAAGCGATTGAAATCGAGCTTTGCTGGGTTTTTTCAATTTTATATTTTCTTAAAAGTTCACGTGACAACGTAATACGAATTAAACATGGGATCCCCGTTTTTACGAGTTTTTTTTTTTTTTTTACATGATACAGTATATAAATTTAATAACTGATTCTGTAACCCCCTCCCCCCCCTCTCTTGTTCCTGTAAGATTTTAGAACAACAAATGGTTTTATAAATACTCTAGACTTCAAAATTTATTGCAGAGTTCATTTTCACGTAAAATTTCGAGTATGTCCATTAGGGCATTATATTGCACAAGTTGAAATGTTATTATTATTCGATAAACTCCAAAAGAAATCACGGGAAATAAAAATTGTGACATGAGCATCGTATTAATGAAAAAATTAATGACTTTTATCATCCAAAGATACATTCAGATTAAAGTACCAGTCATATTTATAAAGTTATAGTAATATTTATAAGGCTACGTGTTTTTCTACGACAGCTATAGGGCACACGTAGATTTTCACGTAAATCTACGTCAAATCGTAAGATACGACTTTTAGTAAAACGCAAAATCGGCGTAAGTTACGGCTACGTCTAGGCGTACGTCTACGTTTTGACTTACGACCTTTAGTAAAACTGGCTACTGAACTGTATATAGCCCTCTTTCAAAATTATGTTTATTTGTGTATTTTGTGTCCCTCTTGATAACTTATTCGAGTCGCTACTTGCCGGAAGAGGGCAGTAAATTTATATGATCTATACACGGCACTCGGGGCCAATTCTCATAAAGAAATCGTTTACAAGCCAACTTCTACTGCCTTAGGGGACCAAACATTTTTTAGTTTCCTGGGATGCTAGTGGATTTGAACTCGCGACTGTTTCTTTGTAACTAGTCGCCCGCGTGGCGCAGTTGTTAGAACCTCTGCTGTAGAGTCGCGAGGTAATTACAAGGACTTGATCCTTCCGTCACGAATTCGAATCCCTCTGTGTGATGTTGAGACTGGTCCTTCAGATTACACCACAAACCAGAAGTCTCTGTCGAGTCTGTAGCTCTACAGGTTTATACTTATAACAAAGGAAGAGATAAAGTTTCAGTTAGGACTTGAATCTTTACAACAACAATATAAAACAGAATAATTATCCTTGATAAAGTCTTTGGTGGCAATACTGCAATAAGACTACAGCTGTAGGAGTCACTTTTAATAAAATTTTTAAAGAATTTTCAATTATAGTTACCATGGCAACATCGTTCATCAAAATAAATTAAAAATAAAATAAAGTATCTTAGTGTAGTCTATCTGCATGACACATTATATCATAATCAAACTAAAAATATATTTGTGATAGCATTTTTAAATCATTTCACAGAAATTTCTATTTTTAGTAACCACGGCAACACCGTTCAACAAAATCAAAATCCGATGCACATGAAGAATTGTGTATCTTAGTATAGTCTACTTGTGTGTCAAGTTATATTGAAATCAGACCAAAACTGTAGGAGGAGTGGCATTTTGAAAGCGTTTCACAGAAATTTCGATTTTTAGTAACCACGGCAACACTGTTCATCAAAATCAAAAACCGATGCACAGTATTATGTATCTTACTTTATTCTACTTGTGTGCCAAGTTATATTGAAATCGGACGAAAATTGTGGGAGAGGTAGCATTTTGAAAGAATTTTACAGAAATTTCTATTTTTAGTAACTATGGCAACACCGTTCAACGAAATCAAAAACCGATGCACAGAATTATGTATCTTAATATAGTCTACTTGTGTGCCAAGTTATATTGAAATCGGACCAAAACTGTAGGAGGAGTAGCATTTTGAAAAATTGATTACAGACAGACAGACAGACGGACGGACGCCGGACGCATTACTATCGAATAAGCTCTTCTGGTCTTTGGCCAGTAGAGCTAAAAACGGGGTCCCGTGGCGCAGTAGAGGCTAGCACGAAAAAGGATCCCTCCCTGCTCAAAGACCCTGAGTGCCGAGTATAGGACAAAATTTGCAGCCCTCCACCATCAAAGGTGGCGTCTCCTCATGAGGGAAAACTTAAAGTAATGGACGTTAAGCAATATACAATCAATTAATCAGATATTCGGCTTAAGAAATGACTGAAATGGTTATCAGAAATGTAGTGTTCTCTAGTAATATATTTCAAATTGATGGAAAGTACGATTGTGACTGACACATGCCAAATGTCATTGACAGGTCTTAAGAACTGTAAGACAATAACACTGGTCAACAGGTCTGAGATCAACATGATCGCCGATATATGAATACAAACGATGAAATCTTTGCCTTTGTACAATTAAGGATGAAGAAAAACATATACAAAGACTTTTAATTTTATTTTCAAAAAGGAAATTTATTATGACTACAATTATAGTATAGAATAGAGACAAAATAATATTAAAGTCAACATAATAATTAAGTTTTAAGATGTACAACAATCAGGTTTAAATTTAAAATACGCAGAAGAAAAATTCTGTTAGTGTTTTAAAAAGGAGTAATTAATCAACTTAAAGATAGGAAACAAGGAAATTTTATGTGAGGTGTGATCGTTAATAAGTTTTTTATTTTTCAAATTCATGGGCATTTATTCAAAGGAGTTTATTAAGGAAAACTCCGAGTGTTAAAGACAACCAGCTGAGGAGCGTCATCATGGAACCACCGCCGGAAGCGGAACTACCACCGGAAGTGGAACCTGGTAAAAAGTAGAACAACAGAAATATTATTGATAGTTTAAACAGTATAGCAATTATCACATATATATTTTGTCAAAAGAGTGGACTATTTACAAAAATAGAACTATTAATCATGCATACATTGCTATGTACATGTGTTGTTGAGTGGGTTTTATGCAATTTACACTCTTATATGATTGTTTTCAACGTACACAATTTTTTCTGTAATGATTTCATGAATCAATCTGAGGTAAACACGTCAACATTAAAAGATCGATCATATGTAACTTGGGAGGGGGGTGCTTAGAGATATATTTTGGATTACTTACATCCGTACTGCGACAAGGAGTTTTTGGTGGTTTTTACAGTGGCGCTGATATCAACACCACAGTCAGAGGCGGCCTGATTTAAACAGTTCAGGTAAGTATTGTAGGCACTGCAATACAAAAAACAGATCTATATAATAAAACAACTCACTATAAGATTTGTAAGCAAAATGATATTGTCTGTCTCTTTTGTATGGGAAGCTAGAGCAAATGGAATATACATTTAAAGGAAACATCAGCGTTTAAAGCAACATATTTCAATTAAAGATAATGAAGTGACCAATAACAATGAGAGAAATAATATAAGGGTAAATCACACTTTATTTTTATTACCTTCATTTGGCATGGCTGGGTATATTCAGTACGCTCTGGCCATATGACAGCCTGAACCAGACCTGTTTACCCATAACGTTGTCTCTCAGTATTTTACTTTAGATTTGTCCGTGAGATTTGGCAATTGCCAGTAAGATTTCATTTTCCATCAATTTTACATATATTAAAATAGAAAAACTGCTTTTCTGATTACAAAAACATGGTTTAACAACAAGGTCTTTGTCATTTAATAATACCACAGCGTTTTGGTAACCTGACATCGCTTATGTGTTTTGAAATCTTTCTCTTATTTAGCGATAAATAGATTAAATCTACATCAGATCATAACGAAAACTAACTGTTAAATTTCAAACTAACTTATTTCTGATTCCCGTATTTTCATAATGGCAAAACGTGAGACGTATTTTAGACTAAAAATCCGTAAAAAATACGGCGAAATCGTAAGAGTAAACAGGTCTGCTGAACATAGAGTACGTTATAATTTCAAGAATTTGTATTGATAACTTGCAGAGAAAACTGCAACTGAAACTTGGTACAGATAGACGCTCGGATAAACATGAATTCGACATCAGAGTCGTAAAAAAAAACACCATGTGGAAAAGAATGCTAACATTTCAAATATTTGCAATGAGTGGTTGCTGAGAAAATTAAAAAGAAAATTTGTTTTGGATGGATGCAAGGATACAAATAGATGCAAAAAGGTAAAACAATAGACCCCTTCCCCTTTGTAGCACTAGTATAATAATTTAATCCATGTTTAAATTTTATCAGTAAACTGAATAAGTGTTACAGGATAAATTTTTATTTTTTCATTGAAGTTTTACAATTATTGTATTTCAAGTGACAAATAATGATTTGATTTATTAGGATTGTTGCATAATGGAAGAATTTGTAAACATCAAAAAACCCTTTTTTACTGAAGTGATTTATTTTCGTATTATTTACAGTAAAATATATTCCACAAATATTCCAATCAATTTTTCATTTGCATCATCATTCCATGAATTTAACTTTAAATAGTGTTTGTTTTTCTGTATGTTGTCAACTTTAACATAGCCCATAACTATTGCACTGTCAAGGGTAAGGCTTTAATATTTGACATGAGTGTTCATTATGACAAGACCTTTCCATTGGTACAGAAACAGTTGACCATATGAACCTCTGGGACCTTGACCTTTGTAGTTTGACATGCATTTGAGAAAATTTAACCCTCGTATTAAGCTGCCATACAGGGGCATCAGTGTTTCACAAACACATCTTCTGTTATTTAACATTAGAAATAAAATCATCTACCTGCATAGTTTGCTTGTGTCCTGGCCAGCTCCTTGTAAAGCAGTGGTTATGGCGGAGGTACAAGTCGTTAGCTGGCTACAGCTCTGCGCCTCAGCTTAATAAAAAAGATATAACTGAGTTATTCCTGCAGCATTAGTTTAAATTCATATGTGCATATTGTCTTTTCCTTCTTGTTTGATACTTTGGAACAAACATTTATTTAAACAAGAGGCCCACGGGCCTTATAGGTCACCTGAGTATCATGTAAAAACTTTCAAACGATTGAATTTCATTTGTGTTTTAAACAAGAGGCAATGAAATTCACAATTTTGAAAGAGGCACCACTGCGTATCATAATTATACACTTAGCATGCTTACTCTAGTTACTTAATCAGATTAGATCAGAGTAAAAAGAGAAAATGCATTTCCACATTATAACCAGTTGTGCACCTCACCCTATAGGAACCATTGACCCTGGGGCCACATGTTTCAAAATTTTGGAAATTTTATCATTAAATTTATTTTACAATAAATGGTTTGTCAATACCAAAGAACAGATTTCAAAGCAATATTTTAATTTCAGGCTATGTTACCCCACCCCCGATACCTCAGACCCAGGGGGCATGGAATTAACCATTTTGCTAAATGCACCTTTCTTCATCATAAATATATATACTTAGATCATTGGCATGATACCCAGGAGCGAAGGAAAATATTTTCAAAGAATTCATGCATTTTCAGCATATAATCATTAGAGACCCGTCTTAACCAGGCACGTAGTATCCGGGGGGGGCCAGGGGGGGCCTGGCCCCCCGACTTTTTTCCCTAACATTACTTTTACTATAGAAAATGTCTATTGAAAAGATGGTTGCTCCCCCCCCCCCCACTTTTTATGACAGTATATACAAAGCAAGAAATATAGGAAAAAATTGGAAGTGAAAGGAAGTTCGACTTGAAAAAAAGTTGGCCACTACACCCCCCCCCCCCCCCCCCCCCACGAAATAAGATTTTCGAGTTTGGGTAAGTTTCAATTTTCCTTTTTTTTTTTTTTTTTTTTGCTTGTCAAATTTTTTTTTAGGTAAATAAAAAATTTTTTTTATCAGGTTGGCCCCCCCACTTTCAAAAACGATGCTACGTGCCTGTTAACACCAGAACACCTGACCCAGGGGCCATGAAATTGCCAATTTTGGAAGAGTCATCCTTCATCATAATAACTGTGTTCATAGTTCATTGGTTTAATACCCAGGAGCAGTGAAGAATATTTTTAAAGAATCTGTGTATTTTCACTATGTAATCAATAGAGCCCCGCCCTAAGACCACATTCCCCAACCTAGGTCAGTGCCATAAATTCACAATTTCGGAAGATGAACTCTTGCTTATCATTACTATATACTTAGTTAGTTTCTTTAATACCGAGGAGCAAAGGAAAAGATTTTAAAGAATTAATGTATTTTCACTATATAATCAAAAAGTACCTCCTTTCACCAAAACCCCTGACCCAGGGGGCATGAAATTCACAAATTTGGTTGAAGTACTCTTGCTCATAACTATATACTAAGTTAGTTTATAATACCCAGGATCAGAGAAGATTTTGAAGAATTAATGCATTTTTAGGTCACCTGAGTAAACTCAGGTGACCTATTGCTATCTGTTTTCGTCCGTCGTCGTCCGTCGTGCGTTAACATTTGAACATTTTCAGCTTCTTCTCTGCAAAGACTGAACCAATTTCAACCAAATTTGGCACAAAGCATCTATGGGTGAAGGGGAACTAAAATTGTGAATTTCATGATCCCTGCCCCCCTGGGGCCTGAGGGGTGGGGCCAAAACCACTAAAATTAATGCAATCTTTAAAAATCTTCTTCTTTACTCCTGGACATCAAGCAGTCAAACTGTTTGCATGATTGTAATCAGCAATGAGTCCTCTACCAAAATTGTGAAATTCATGGCCCTGGAGTTAGGGGTTCTAGTGCTAGGGCGGGGCTAAATAAGTATATAGTGAAAATGCATTATTTCTTTGAAAATCTTCTTCTCTGCTCCTGGGTATTAAATAAACCAACTAAGTACATATTTTTATGATGAGCAAGAGTGCCTCTACCAAAATTGTGAATTTTATGGCCCCAGGGTCAGGGGTTTCTGGTGTTAGGGCGGGGCTCTATTGATTATATAGTGAAAATACATGAATTCTTTGAAAATCTTCTTCTCTGCTCCTGGGTATTAAATAAACTAACTAATTACATAGTTATGATGAGCAAGAGTGCCTCTACCAAAATTGTGAATTTTATGGCCACATGGTCAGGGGTTCTTGTTTTAGGGTGGGGCTCTAATGATTATATAGTGAAATGCATGAGTTCTTTGAACATCTTATCCTTTGCTCCTTGTTGATATACTAATGATCTAATTACATATTTAAGGCCAGGATTTATTTTATTTTTAGTTTTACAAACCCTCTGCTCAAGGTTTTGAATTTTCAGAGAAAAATAAAAAATTTTCTTTCCGATGTCAAATTTGAGTCGGGATCGAGATTTCAAATTTACGAACTCGCACTTCCGGTTTTAAGATGAAACGGCGGGTAAATAAAGCTAGATCTGAGAAGATAGCTTGGTTTAGTGTAAAATTCATCGATACGAGTGCCATTCAAAACGTTTCACCCGTTCAAAGGACAAATAAAATGCTGACGACTTTGTTGCACAATGACATGCTGGTGAGATAATTATGTATTCGTTTCAAAAGTATCTCTGTAAATTATTTTCCTCCCCCAGGCTTTAAAATGCCCGTGGTACATTTAGCTATTGCATATTGCCAGCGACATTGTTTAGGTCTCTGTTATAGCTTACAGTCTAAGCATCATTCTTCAGAAAAGGGTTGTTTATGCATCAGATGTAATGAATAAAACTATGGGAGAAGTTAAGTCCATTTGAGGAAGAAATTAACAATAACCTTAAGAAATAAAAAAAAATCCAGCTATTAAAATGCAAGAATATACAAATATATACAGGCATGTAGTATCATTTGTATCAGCCAGAAAAATTATTTTACACTTAATTGAAAAAATGTTCACCCTACTCCCCAATACTCCCTGTCTGTTTTGTGATAGGAATTATAATTTTAGGCATCAAGTAAATTTTAGAACAATGTCTACACAATCACCTAACACATATTCAAAAAATGAAGATATAATGAAAGAGTTTTAAAGAATTGATTTTTTAAAATATATTTTGATCAACATCACAAAATTTATATAACTGGCCCAAACTGGCAGATGATGAAAGCAATTAAATGTTCTACTTTCCTATTTGTAAGCATTATGTGTCCAGTGGTAAGGAGCCTATTAGAATAGCATAAAGAAAGAATGTACAAATGTTAATAATTGATTTATCAAATTTTTTTTTTATTTCCTTCTCCCTCGGGACTTTTTTATTCTCATGTTCATAACTAAACCTAAACATAAAAAAATGCTGGCCTTATAATGAAGAAAGGGGCCTCTTCCAAAATAGATATTTTCAGGACCGCTGGGTCAGGGGTAACAGGGGGTACTTTGACTAAAAATAAATTAATGCTTTGAAATCTGCCCTTTGATAAGCAATGGTGCCTCTTTCAAAATTTGTGAATTTCATGGCTTTTGGATTAAAACACGAACCAAATACAATCGCTGGAAAGTTGTTACATGATATTCAGGTGACCTATAAGGCCCATGGGCCTCTTGTTTACTATATAATCAATAGAGCCCCGCCCTTACACCAGAACACCTAACTCAGGGGCTATAAAGTTCACAATTTTCGAAGAGGCACTTTTGTTTATCTTAACTACGTTCTTGGTTCTTTTGTTTAATACCCAGGAGCAGAGGAGAATTTGAAAGAAATAATGTACTTTTACAATATGATCTATATAGCCTTACCCTAACACCAGAACCTCCGATCCAGGGACCATGAATTTCACAATTTTGGCTTTACAAAAGCAATGCTGATTACAATCATGCCAACTGTTTGACTGCTTGACGTACATGAGTATAGAAGAAGATTTTTAAAGATTGCATTAATTTTAGTGGTTTTGGCCCCACCCCACAGTGGGGCAGGGACCATGAAATTCACAATTTTTGTTCCCCTCCTCCTATAGAGTCTGTATACCAAACTTAGTTGAAATTGGTTCAGTGGTTCCAGAGAAGAAGCTAAAAATGTTCAAAAGTTTATGAATGATGTACGACGACGTACGAGAACAGATAGCAATATACTCAGGTGATTTAAAAATGGATTGTCTAAGGCCTGTTCCTATCTTTTTCTACCTTACATTTTACTACATGTCAGGTTTTAAATTAGACTTTACCGAGTGACAGTGAAAACAAATTTCAACATCACAACTTTTGTTATAAACGTAGAGAATATTCATTGAAGGCTGGTCCCCACCTGTCTAAAATAGGTCGCAGCAAAGTTGAATCATGTTTTCTGATGATGGTACAACTATAAAGTTAAATATTTGGTCAGTCTAAGAAGGTCGCAGCAAAGTTGAATCATGTTTTCTGATGATGGTACAACTATAAAGTTAAATATTTGGTCAGTCTAAGAAATTTTTTTCCTCCGATCATGGCAAGGAGCACACGGCGGGTTTGACCGGTCGGCAGGAGATGTTCACTCCTCCATGGCACCTGAACCGACCTCTGATGTATTTTAGGTCTGCGTTTGCTCTGCTCTAATTTTGTACTGTTTAATGAACTTTTCGGCTAGCATACTGTTTGTTATCTCCATATATTTCAATGGAGCTCCCGAAGTACAATATAGGATGTTCTTATTTGCACAGTAATGTCTTTTATTGTTAATTTCTTTCACATAAGTTGCCCCGCTTTCAGCAGGTTACCTTCCCTAACGTTCAAAAACGACACTATATCACTGATTATTTTTTACCGATGTTAATTGCTTATACTCTGTAATCTGACTTACCGTGTTTGATGACAATGACTGAAATCAGGCAGCAGACCAGTGTTAAGGTGGCGAAATCACGCATGGTCTTTGTTTTCTTCAAGTGAGAGCGCCAGTAATCTGTAAATAAATTGTTTGTTCATCGACTCCCTCAAACATTTTGGCACTTAATTTTTATATAATGTTTTGAATCGAATTCATTAGT